AGGTAAAACATCTTATTTTTTTAATACATTTTTTACTCCCATTGTATTAGCTTCTTTTATAAGTAATTAGGTAAAAAGTCGATTTTAACCGAATGTGCTAAAATTTTGCACACACTTTTGGTGCTGGTGACAATACAATCTAGTATAATTGATGTAGGTATTAAATATTAAATGTAGACTTCGCCTAGTTTAAGAAAATGTAAAAAATACTTTTTACTTAAATAAAGACATTTTATTATTATTATTATTATTATTATTTTTATTATTAAATAAAAGGGTTTGACGAAAAGAAAACGATAAGATGAGTAACGTCATAAGAAATCCTATGTGGCGTCCTCCCAAAGATAGTCAGTTATGCATATATTTCTTCACAACTCCCTTTGTCAAGCAGATTAATGTTACTAACAAACTAAGTTACTAAATTTTAAGGCTAAAAATAAAAAATTAATAATAGTTTGAAAAAACTAAAAAAAAACACTTTAACGCACTAATAAGTACAAAATAATGTAATTTATTGAAATATTTTGTGGTATTGTTTATTGTCATTGAACAAAGGTAACCAGATTATTTTGTACTTTTTAGCACGTCAAACCGTGTTTTTTAGTTTTTTAAAACTTTTCTAAATATGACTTTTTTGGGACAAATTGGGACTTTTGAAGTAACCTATAACTTTTCAGTTATTTTTAAAAAGAGATATTTCTGTATTTCATAGTTCATGTTTTTCTTTACCATTTGTTTACTACTGTTCCTATTCTGACATAATAGGTAATTAATTATGCGTTAACCATTAAACAATTGTATTAAAAATTGTATTAACAATTGTACTTGATTTTTAAAATGTTCTTTCAAAAAATAAAATCTTTATTATTTTTCAAAGCACGTCAATTAAGTTTGGTATTTCGGATGTAGGTAACTTGGATAAAAAAATATTTTAATTTTGAAATCAAAAGGTGTCGTTTATTGAAAACGGTAATGGACTTTCTCGAGTTACCCATACCTATGTATAGGCAGACACATTATAGCGAGCATATAAAAATTAGTTCCATTGTAATTTAGCCATAAAGTTTGACCTTTGTAAAGTTGCCTTAGGCCTCTAATAACTGGTAGGCCGGGCGAGGCTTTTGTTCGGCTGGGATGGAGCCCGCACCCCGACCAAACAAGATTTTATCTCTTCTCATATATTTTTTTTTAGTCGGCTCTTATTTTTGCTCGTTTTGCCCGCTGCGTACAGATCCCGCTAGCAATGTACTGGCACCTCGGCAGTCAACGTGGACTCGACGCTCAGCTGTCTGCTTGTTGCGTGGCAACCGTATGGCAATCGAGCCTCGCGATTGGTCGACGGACGATGGCAGTTGGCTGTGGATAGCGGCTCGTTAAAATCGGGCGGGATCGGTTAGCTCGGTCGAAGCATTGGCCCAGCGACGGGTTTGCGGGTTTTCATTGGTCAGTTTGAATTGTGCTGTTTCAGTCAACGTGGACTATACAGAGAGCTCGGTATACTGGCAATCAGGGCGCCATATTTATAAGGGTGAAACTGGATGTGGAGAAATCACGCAAGTGGAACGAGGACAGATTCCACCCCTGTTTCAACTAAAATGAGATGCTCTCTGCCAGGCAGCCATTTTGAGGGTGTTTTTTGTGTTTTTATTTTTTAATTTTTTTGTTGCCAGCATGTACGTATCGTTTGAGGGGTGTGAGTGCAAGTAAATGCGAAATTGGCGGGTCAGGAGCCGGCGTCGTAGTTGGCACTTGCGCCGCTAACCGATGACGGCGCACAACTCGACAGCGACACTTTGCCGGTGGGTTTAACATTCACACTAATTGCAATCGCCGTCATGCCAATTAAAACATGACCCATTTCGAGCGCTACTTTTTAAAATACCTACCCACTACTTTACTTGGCTTGTAGGTTTACTGTTGTACTGTTGTACCAGCCCGACCGTCGTTAACGATTCATTTTCTCCTCTTTTATGCCCTTCGTTCAGAATTCTTTATTGCAATTTTATATCTACGAGGGACCATTTACAACCTTCACAACTTATTAAAAAAACAACATGGAACCAATAATTCATACATATGGCGCTAGTAGTAGGTAACCAAACAAGTTTGTTCATGATAATTATCAAGTGCAATCTGACAAAAGACTGCTGTCAAAATATCAAACAACTTTTGTTGTTGTTTTTCTTGTACAATGGGACACACCCAATTTAGAAAGACTTGCATTCCCTTAACATCAAAATCTAAACTGCCTTTATGGACAACTAACCTAAAAGTAATCACTATCACATTTTGACAGTAAATGCAAAAATAGTTGTTATTATATATTTCTGTGGGTAAAAGGCATAAGTCAAAAAATTTTCGGTAGAGACTTAAAGGTGTTTCTCATTAATTCAGGAAATATATTTATGATTAGCGAGTATACCCTTTTGCTAGCATATGACATATGTGCTGGCAAAAGGGTATACCGGCTAACCATAAATGTATTTCCTAAATTAATGCGAACACGTTTAAGGCACTACTAAAAAATTGATTTTTTTTACTTGTCCCCTTATTTTACCCACAGATTTGCTAAATACAGCTGTTTTCGAATCACACAAGGACAACCAAATTATGTTGTTCGAAATTCCGTGTCCACCACTGTACTTACTAGGTATATTAGGGTGATTAAAAAAATTGCTTCCGACACTAAAAAATTGGTTCTTAGGCACCTCTAGAAAGAGCTTACCAAATTTAAGATCTAAATAATAGGAAGATCCTCCTCATCACAGATTCCATTTTTTCTTTAGTCCGGACTTAAAAAGACCATATTTCATTATTAATCAATCATTTAATGAATTTTCTAAATTTTCTGTTTTCATATCAGTAAATAAAATAGATTTACCAAACTTTTTTGTTTCTCTACCAGGTAGAAGGTACTGTTAATATTAATGTTCAAAAATATTGTTTCCTATTCTATCTATGTATTATATCTATTTTGCATAATGTTGTAGATAAATATAAATAACATATATACATACCTAGCTAATTATGTTGAGGTTCCACTAAAAGGAAAAAAATCGCAATTTCTCTATAGGAATTTTAATTTTTTTCTGGTCCTATACTTTGTGGTTCATATTCCTTCCTATTCTATCTATGTATTCTATCTATTTTGCATAATGTTGTAGATAAATATAAATAACGTATTTACATAGCTAATTATGTTTACCACTAAAAGGAAAAAAAATGCAATTTCTCTATAGGAATTTTAATTTTTTTCTGGTCCTATACTTTGTGGTTCATTAAATTTAACCAATAAAATAGTGGCGGTTTGGTGGATTAAATTGTTCACCAATTTTCATTTCCACATTTATTTCATAGGAATTAATAATTTTACAAAAAATTAAACAAAATAAATAAAACACATGTTGTAAATTTAAGTATACACTATTTTATAAAAAAATTAACTGAAAATAAGAAGCACCTTATCCTAACCAATTTTATTACAAAAAAAATATTAAAACAAATTCTATATTAAAGAAATAACAAACAATGTGAATTTCTCTGAAAATAAACTTTTCGGTAAATTAAAATTTAAGAAGAAATAATAATCAGTTTTGCCACACCTCTAGTCGACATTTTTCCTTTGGGGGGGGTCAAAATATAAGGAAAATAATTTTTGTAAAACTCCTTATTGCTTATTTGCTTTTGTATATTGGGGAAAAGGATTTAAGGTACCAAAACTAAATATCTCACAAACATAAACATATATTCTTTTTTAAGGTACTTGTCGTGTAGGCATACCATCAGAAAATTTTAAATTTTTGTATAGGTACTTACATATTAAGGACATGACAATAAAATTATCCTTAAAAAAAGTCGATTGACCGTCTATAACCCGAGATAAATTAAATTAAAAATTGGATAATTAACATTGTATTGTATACGGTTTCTATAGTTCTTTACTAGTTTCTTAGTTAAAAAAAACTAACTGTCAGAAGTTTTCAAAGTCTTTTAATGTATTTTTGAGTTCAACAATTTGTAAAAAAGTACACATACTAGTGAGTCAGATAAAAACAACTTGGCAACGCTGTACGCGAGTATAGGTAGATATTATTTGCAAACAGAAAAATTCAGAAAATCCTGGATTTATCGGAAAATAGGACATTTATCTAATCTTCAATTGCCAAGTTTAATGCTTCAAATACCGATTTAAATGGCCAACTCTATTTTGCACCTAATATTTTTGTGTTCTGCGATTTTTTTTATTTATGCCGGATAAGGTACCACCGCTGATAAGCAGAGTTGTTAAAAACTTTTGAGAAATGGAAAGTTTGACTGTTTTAGAGTGGCCTTCTTGTTCACCGGATCTTAATCCAATTAAGGGATAAGGTTAAAACAAGGATTAGCGCATGTTAAAACAACCCGGCAACGCAGAAAAACTGGTAGTAGTAGTTTTAGAGGAGTGGGAAAAAGTTTAACAAAAAGAAATAAATAACTTAATAAAAAGCATGCCTCGTCGATTTCGTGCTTGCATTGAGGCTAGAGGTGGAAACACTGATTATTAAATTAACAAAAACCTATTATTTCTTTATAAATTATTATTTATTGTTAAGTTTATTCTCAGAGAAATTCACATTTTTTGTAATTTGCTCTCTAGAAAATTTGGTTTAATAAATTTTTCTTTATTTTTGTAATAAAATTGGTTCCACTATGTTCCACTATGCAAAAATTGCTCTGTGCAGAATATTGAGTGTTTGAATATATCTACTACAACAAATAACCTGTCTAATTACATTACTATTATTAATAAATGTGCCTGGCTAATGGATTAGCCGGAGCCGGTGCGAATTTAAGTAAATCAATTCGGCCGCAGCAGCAGCAGCAATTGTTTCGTAGTCCATGCTACGACGTTTTTGCCGCCGACGGTATTTTCAGGGGTTGTAGCTTTTAGTTCTGAAGAGTGTGGGCAATGTTAGCGGTTAGTGCGGAATGCGCGCGGGGACGGCCGAGGGGGAGGGGGGCCGCGGCACCGGAGGTGGGGATACGAAAAGCCAGTCTCTTGTGAAACGTGCTCTGGTAAGGTTGGTAGCGCCGAGCCACTCTTTCTCTCTCTGTTGATTCGCATATTGACGACGACATTTTCTATATACCTAGTGTGGATTTTTTTGGTGGTGTAGTGTTTGTGTTAATTACTAGTGTATGACGTGTGCCGACTTGTTGGATTACGTGGTGATTTTTGTGTGCTGTGTGCTTGGTTTCTTGATCTAGTGTGAATTTTTGTATGATGAGTTTTTAATGAAGTAACATGTATCCGAGTGCTGGTATGAACGCCGCGGCCGCAGCTGCGGTAGCTGCCGCACGACATCCGGTAAGTTCATAAAATTCACTCAAAAGAATTTATTTACATATTAAACAGCCGTTTCAATTCAAAAGTTTTTACATTAACATTCAAATTTATAAAAGAAAATTATCGTTTCTTAGACCAACGCTATTTTGTCTAAAAATATTAAATATGTATGCTCCACGTCAAGAAGTATCACTTTTACATTTGAATACAAATAATTGAGGTTATCTATTTGTCAGTTTAACGATAATTAAGTATATACAATAGGTAGTTACCTATGTATTTTTTATGTATGGGTAAATTCATTTCCAACAATTGTCCAGTAAAAACACTTCATGAACGTGATTCATAGAACAAAACTAACAAAAAAAGTTCATAAAATTGCAATTAGGATCAGAATTTCTGAAATAAGCAATGCGATTTTTTTATTAAAATCTAGATTACGGGTGCGACACTTACACTGCGTTTTTTATGATAATAAAGTGCTTGTTCGTTACTTTAATATACAAAAATAGATAAAAAATTAGGTATTTACCTAACTCAAACGAAATGTCAAGAAAAACTTGTATAAAAAACCTTTTATAACGTTATGAATCGCGTAACGGGCGCGACCTTAAAAAATCGGCAAATGTGACCAAGTTGGCTTCTAAAGTTGATACTGTAAAATTTTGGATGGAAGCATATAGTAATAATTTTTTGTGTAAAACTTAAATAGTAACCTTAAACAAGCAGGTTTTAAATGCACAAATATTGTATACTTAATTTTCTAAAATTTTCTCAAAATGTAACGGGTGCGACATTTGAACATTTTATGTTAATTATTAATGTAAGCTTTTTAGCATTACAATGTAAGAATATTTTAAGGTTATAAATTACGTCGCAATTAAACTATTTGACTTCAGATATACATAGGTAGTTTTTATTTTGTTAAATAACACGTCTAATTTTTTGTCAAGGTGGGGTAAGGTTTCGCGGAAATACCCTAAAACAACAATTTTTTGTCTATAAACTCTCTATTGACATTTTATTTTTTGAGTTTCCATGTAATTTTACACAAAAAAGGTCCTCTTGATTACAAGGTCTTAAAACAACTGTTTTAAAAAAAATTGGTCTGGCGATATGATGTTGAGTGCCTCCTTTATAAAGCATTTTTGACCCCACGTTGTTCATATTTTGCGCTGTACAATGACCCCTTACAATTTTAGGATGCAAACTTCTGTTCCATAATAATGGAGTAAACAGAAGAGCACATATCTCACCATATTTAAGGCAATCAGGCTGGCTTAATATGTTTAATAGAAGAAAGTTACACAAGCTTTGTTTGTATCATAAAATAATTAAAACTAAATCCCCACCTTACCTTTACAACAAAATTAGGTTCAGAGATGATGTCCATAACATCCTTACTCGTCATAGAGGGTTAATTGACCCTCCTGAACGTCACAGAGTTTTTAGGAAATCTTTTACTTATGATATTTATGCATCATACTCTGAACTACCACAAACTATAAAAAATAGCTCAATTACTATAGCTAAATCTAAAATAAAAGCTAGATTACTGAATGAACAGAATGGTTAAATATTAATTAGGTAGTATGTGTGGTTGGATGATTGGTTTAAAAATCAAGGATCCCTTAAGTGTGCTATTTGCTTTAAAATAATCCAGGGCCAGGGGAAGAATGAGATGAAAATCTTAATCTGGTCCTTTGTACTCTTTAGCCTAAGAATTAAAATTTTGTTTAATATTATTTCGTATTATTTATGCTAACTGGTTCAATAAATGTATTATTATAATAATAATTATTATTATTATTAATAACGTTTGTAAAGTTGGCCAAGCATTTTAGTTACACCCTGTATAATAATCAAGTAAAAAAATCGAGAGGTTTCATTTGGTTCTATTAAATTTTTTACACACAAAAATGCGGAAATAAAAAATATGATTTGGTTGAACCACGATGTTGGCAATTATAACATGCAAATTTATTCTGAATTGGTGTGAAATTTATGAAACAGTTTTTTAACAACACTAAATGATATGGGTCAAGTTTTTTCTATCCTTCTAGAAATGAAAAACTAAATAAAATTAACATATTGAATTTTGTCTAAAAACATATTAGTTATAGAGATTCAGGCACACATGCCCAAAACATTTCCAACATCCCTTAATGTCTTTGAAATACTGTTAATTTATGCGAAAACCGCACAGGATCCCTGACGCTTAGTCCCCTCGTAATATTTTTAACCGGTCATTATATCGTTACTCTCTTTGTGTAACATTGATGTAGTTACATCAACAGTTAAATTAAAAAATGCAATGAAGGATAATGCGATTAAATAGTGCAGCATGTGGCTGCTACATAAAGAGCGCACCTGTTAATAATAATTATAATTAGAGTCAAATAATTTTGCGCGGACGTTTATTTATAAATACGTTAAAACTGACGTAAAACAATCTGGAGCAGAATTATTTTAATTGATAGCGCACAGCGTTTCAAAATAAATAAAGTGTTTTTTTATCGCGTCGACATATTTTTCATTATTTGTTTGTTTTGTATTGAGTGTTATCAGTTGTAATTATTGGTGAAATATAATATTGTTGTTATTATGACTTTCTATCATATGCACTATCTATATTATTTAATTATTGATATAATTTCTGTACCATGGCACCAAAGCCTTGTAAATGTCATTTCGCTTATGTCAGGGTATTTATTTTCCGAAAACAGGTGTTCATCAGGGGTCCATTGTATGTCTTCTTTTGTTAAATCTAAACCTTTTATTATGTTTGCATCAATGCTGTTCTACCTGGTAGGGATTTATGGTCCACTAAGTACCTAGAAAAAATGTTTGAAAGCAATTTTTATTTTTAGTAATTTTCAGTAATTCGATTATATTGTCTAGACTTAATCCACAATTTTTTTTAGTTTGTAACTTTCTTGTATAGATTAGATATCATTTTTAGGGTTCACCTTCTTTGTGTTTTTAAATTTATTATTCGTTAATTTTAGTTTTTTAGTGTGCGTTACACGGAATGTTACAAGAATACATTAAGTTACTACAAGTTAATGTTAAAAGAAAAAATTGCAAGCAATTTAAGTCAGATACTCATACCTTGAAAAGCGTATACGCTATACCTATAGGTTATAGAAATAAATAAGATGTTTTTGCCCATTCTGATTTTGTGTAATTCTAACTCTAATTGTAAAGTACCTACCTATTGATTAGTGATTAACAATTTATTACGTGTCTTAGATAAAGTCAAACAACAACAACGTCTGTTGTCAGGATATTTCATAATTTCTTAAATCAATGTAATAATAATAATTCAAAAATCACGGTAAATTACCGAGTAAATTACCTACTTATTTAACCCTATAAGTACTAGCAACAGTAGATAAAACTAGGTTCTGTTTTTTAATAAAAAATAATTGGAAAATTGACATAATTACATGAACCGATTTTATCTAATCAGGTAATTGACAACACATTATAATACTGAAAAATCAGAACTTCGCATTATACCTAAATTAGGTAACCTAATACTAAAACAATGGAAAAAGGTCTCAAGGTGTTAATTATTTCTGGTTAATTAGCATAAACTCCTTTCAGGAAATAATCAAGAGGTGTCAGGTCTCACAAACCTGCCGACAGTTTATTTGTAAAAATCACCAAATCTGGAGGACATTAAGTTAATGCCTTTGTTTGCCGTATGTCATCATGTCTTTTCCGAAACAATGTGTAAAAATATTTTGAAGGAAATATTAAATGGTCAAGCTCTCGTAACGTAGGGACGGAAACAGATGTTATCAAGTATCTACCTTTACTAACTATAGTTATCAAGAAGTTATCAAAATCTGTAATTGGGATATTAATTTTATCAATAACGAAAATTATGGAATACATGTGTATCAGGGTAATTCAACTAACTATAAGTAGTTGTTACCCAGTAAAAAAATATTAACCAGATGTTATGTTAATCCAGGTCCACATAACTTTATGTTAAGTTTACAACCAACTGTAATCTATTGACTTATTGAATTAGTGTACAATGTTTTTTATCATTACAAACTATACCTAGTTTAAGATTTAATAACAAAATTATCCCAGTAACAAAGTATTTGTTGGAAATTGGAAACTTAAATGAAAAGAATTTTGATAAGAAATGTTGCTTTATTAATCAATTTTCTAAACAAAAAAAATTATCACACCCCTACATAAATGCACACAAAAATAACATACCTACTCACAATTAAATGACACCATTCTGAAATCATCAAATTATAAAGAAATTTGGTACAATATATATTACTATTAGTACCACTACAACACTTACTAATGTATTTCGACTTTCGACTTCACTGTATCTGCTAATTTCAGTTTGAAAACCAGTGATGGCATCTTTTTTTGGATACTTCGCACTTCGCACACTCGTTAAATATATTTAAATCTGTTATTATTATTATTCGAATTACTTATACCTATAGGTATAAGGAATCAAAATAACAATAATAACAGATTTCTGGTAATATATTATATATAAACACTCTGGACAGTCGTTACGAATAAAGTAAGCAGAACTTATGCTGCAGAAGCTGAAGTCAGTTGAACTTGTTGATGTGCATTGTCAGTAAGAAATGTTTTGATTGGTTGCGTAAAATCACGTGTACTTTTTAAACAAAATAATCTGTAACCTTTAAAAATTAACAAAATGCTTACAAAATTGCATATTACCTTTACAAAAGTTTTGGTAAAATATTCTCCTTTGTTAAAAAAATTACCTACAAACCCTGGTTTTGTACAAAAAATTATGTTAAAATTTTACAAAATAAAACTAATAAACCACAAACCCATGTTATCAAATCTGATTTTTATAACGGTGTAGAGGTTTATAAAGAAGTCTATTTTTCAAAAAATTTTGACTGATGGAGCAAAAGGAGACTTAATATTAATTCTGTGGGTAAAAGGCATAAGGGGATAAAAAATCAATTTTTCAGTAGTGCCTTAAACGTGTTCGCATTAAT